CAGATGTCAGTTTAGAAAGTAAAAATGAGTAAAGCAATAAATATACAACAAAATTCAAACTATTTGTCTGTGGATTTAATGAAAAGGAAACAGAAGCTTTTATAATGAAACCATCAAGCTATTATAAAAACTATAAAATTCCAAATTAAAATATTTGAAGCATCCTACTGGATACGGTTTCCATTGCTTATTAAAATCTAAATGAAATAATAAATCATAGAATAGAGGTACATAATGTTGCATACTAGGGAAGTGCATGGTGTAACCGTTATATCAGGGAATTAAAGGTGTGGTCAGCTGCTCACTCAACAGTAAGGAAAAAAAAGATTTTAAACTGAGTCATGTGTGATATCACAGGAGCATGTACCTGTATATCTTAGTGATAATTTCAGACCAAGGTTTTTATCTGTAATTACATTTATTTTGTGCTGACAATATTTCAGTGTCACTTAGATTGATTACAAGCTTAAAACATCAAAGTTATTTTGTGAAATCACCGTCCCTCAAGGGACGGTGGTGAAATTAAGGGGTGGGCCATTTGTAACTTGGGGGAGGGGGGCAGAAAATTTGCTGCAATTTTATTTCTTTATTTATATTTTTGTGTATAATTTTTTTTCCCTAAGAAATACGTGTGCAGAATTTTCTTTCTGTTATTAATCCTTGTAGGTCTTTTTCCATGATACTTTCCTGTGCACATCATTCATTTTTGTTTTAATTCTGCCATTGCCAGATTTTCTAATGCCCCCTCCCCCCGATTTGTATTTTACTTCTCTGTTACATGGGACCCATATCGATGACTGCAACATTTTAATCAGTGTATAATAGTAATGAAATTAATCATATTTATTATGGTTATGCCTAAATTATTATTTTACTGACCTTTATTGTCTAACTGTCTTGATGATTAATGGTGTCATATTAATTGGAAAGAGAACATACCTGCAGGTGACACTGATTAAAATAAAAAAGAAATTATTGCATACTTGCCATTCTGCATTGTCAGTGTTTAGGACCTCAGGTCCTCAACCCAATATAACACCGTTTTATGAATTCCTGCCAGTAAAATAAACATTTATATCATGTTTCTTCACCATAATGTTGATAAATGTATTTAGTAGACTAGATGGCGAAACATATCATATTCATCTTAATAAAGTAGATAAACAAAGGAACCTTCGTCCAATAGTGTTCACGCACATTACCGTATATGTATATGGCTACTGTAGACTTCAGGTTATTTCAGCTGTAAACAGTATGTGTAACAGTTTATTGACTTTAGCATGAACGGATCTGGCATGTATTTTTGTTTGAAATCTAGGTAAATACATCCACATGTAAAGGTTTCATTTCCTATCATATGAACCATGTGTTCATCTGTAACAAACATGTCATATATATCTACTGTCTAAAATGGTTAATAGGGCATCATCCTTACTAGCATGTCAGTATGCCCCCAGGGTAGGGATAGGTATGGCATATGTGATATAAACAGTAATATGTGACCATCTTTACTAGCCTGTTAGTATGTACTCC